TGCCTCAGTACCAGATTGCTTCTTTCCATAAAACGGCTACACCATGAAGTCGTGGCTTTGAAGTCTTTGCTGTGCTCTTGATTTTGTTTAGCCCACTTAAGTGCCCACATACGTATCATGTTTCTTGATACAATATACCCATTTTGACGCTGCTCATGGACCATGTCTACTGCGTGCTTCTCTAGAATCGGCCAGTGTGCAGTGCCTCTTCTCATTGCACATTTATTCCTGGGCATACTTCGTAGTAAGTGTTCCTTTGATCTCCAATCCCACACCATCTTCTCAGTTACACCGTATTCTCTTGAAGCAGCACAATTGTTGTGTGACTGGGCATATGCTATCACTTTCAGCTTAAAACAAGCTTCATATCTCATGCGTTTAACAATTGGAGCCATGGTGAGGTTTTGTGGTAGCTGGATACAGTATTAATATACCGTAGTGTTCACACGGAGAGAGTGCTATTGCTTATGGAGTGATAACTCAACAACTGGACAAGGCAAATGAGAGAAGGGGTATCACGTTTGGGGATAGATACCGTTACATGACCTGACGTGGTCACCTTACACATATATGGTAATCATTAACCCTTTGGATGCGACATGCGGGTAAACCCGCTCAAAATATTATATTAATTAAATGCGACAATCGGGGATATCCCACGGCCTTGAAAAAACTTCCCCAAATGAGACGACATGCTGACATATTATGTATTGAGGTATAGGAGTATTTCCTGAATGCAATATAGCTTATTTTTGTACTATTTTGTTTGATATTATCTGAATATGTAATACATATCTAAATTTGCTGTTTAGTAACCAAATTGATTAAATTTATTTGGCATATACCAGACATTGATTTATACCAATTTCCTGCATTTTTGGGTATAAATGTCATTTTTTCTCTAAAATTTGCACACATATGTGAATTTTTGTTCCAGATTTGGAAAATATACTAAAAGTTCTCTAGGAAAAACATATAGAAAATGTGATTATATGAAATTCATTTTTGGCAGGATAATTGACACTTTTCAGGAACCGGCGCGAAATTTAATTACGCACCTAAAGAGTTAAGAATCAAACTCCGAATCAGATGACCTGCCTTCTTCTTCATCATTGTCAGCCTAAATTTACCACTGTCGGTAGTTAAAAGAATTAAAAGTCATTTATTGAATATTCTATAAAAAAATAAATGTTAAATTAATTATTTATAGGAGAAACATATGATCAATAAATATATGGTATTACTGGCCACTTCAGACACAAAGACGGGATAAAAATAGCCCATCTCCCCCTCTTACAGCTGCCAATGGGAAGTGTGTTGGTAATTAAATTTGATGTTTATTTTCAGTTTGTCTAATTTATCATGTATCAAATTAATATTACTAGAAATTGTGTAGGTAGTAGGCAGCTACCAAACAGGGAGGTACTACTGCCTGAGAAGATATTGGAAGCATAATGTGTTGTCTAATGGTAGACCCTGCTGCCATATGGCATCACGAAAATTTTGACCAAGTCCCAGGTTGCTGACCTGACTTTCTGCCTCATTTACACAATTGCAGTTTCAATTGTTCCTCTTACTTTGACAACACAACATACATACAGTATATTATTTCTCACTTTTGATCTTTTTTTTTAATTTTTGTATTTATTTATAGTTAGTTACTTAAAATAAGGCCAATTCATTTCAAGTAATGGCATCAAATGTAACCGGCTGGTGTAGTGTAAACACTAGTGACTTCACTTAAGCGTCTGTAATTAACTGTCGATAGTTTCAAGAATTAACGCACTCATTTACTGAATATTCTTTGTAAGAAAATAAATTTTAAATCAATTATTTATAGGAGAAAATATTATTATCAGTAAATATACCGATACCCGGTATGCATTACTGATCACCTCAACGGCTAAAAATAGCCCAATCTCGCGGTCACTTTCCCTTTCTTGTCTCCTCACTGGCAAATGTGGGGGCGTGGGGAGGGGCTGTGTGATGATAGCAGCTGTGTTTATTACAGGGTATGTTAGAGAGGTTTATAATACATTTTTATTATTTTAATATACCGGTAATCTTAATTTGAATCCAGCTTGCCAAACGTAAGTTTCAGTATAAAATAATTACTGGTAGGACTTTGTGAGTGGCTTACGATGTTTCAATCACCACTCTTGACACAATATTTAAGATGTAAGAATTTTATATTTGTTGCTTAAGACGACCCCCTAACTTTGGGCATATTTTTTTAATGTTCAAATTTCGTCTTATAAGATATACGGTATACAGAGTACAACATTTAACCCTTCATTATATATGAGCTGTAAATAAGTGTTGCTTTCATATTCTTATGTAGAGTAATGACGATATATTTTCATGTGTGCACTTACATACGAGCAGTCTCACTTTATTTTTTACCATGAATGGTTAGCTACTTATATTTTTCCATTTATTAACATTAAATAACATTACAGGTAGGGGAAGGTGGGGTAAGACGGACCCCTTAAGAAATAAATGGGTCTAGAAGCCACATTTTGATATTTTTTTCATGTTTTAGGGGTTGTGGTGGTACTTTGGGGTCTTATGATTCCAATACACAACCTAGGCACAGTTATTTGAGGGAAAAATTGAAACTATGATTAAAATAAAAAAGTAACTTTTATTGTACCCGAAAAAAAATGATGGGGTAAGACGGGTCCGTCTTACCCCGTCATTTTTTCGGGTACTTCCTAAGGGTTCATCATAACCCTCGACCAAAAAATAATGAAAACAGATCCTTCCTGGAATAAATTACAAAGAAAACCCTTCTTTCAGCATCCTTTACCCACATACATTTGCTTCTGTGCCCATTTTACACCTGCAGGGATACTTTATAAATATTATGCCAAATTGCCTGATCATTCCTTGCATAGATCACAAACAAAACACTCAATATCATCCTCATCATCCAGTATCACTGCACATTGCTCGTGTGCCCATTTTTTACAATTGGCACAACAAACCCACCCTTCACCTCTTGCAGAATTTCCAAAGGTGTCACTGCAATACAGGCAGACAGTTCCATCTCCCTCTTCACTCTCGCTGTTGCCAGGATGGTCCAGCTTTTGCTTGTTGTGTTTTTGGGTTTGTCTTCCTTTTTCACGTCGTAGTTGCTTTGATATGATTGCTGTTTTATTTTTGGCTTCTCTTTCTTTTTGCTTCTTTGCTAGACTGACCTCTTTTTCTTTTTTCTTCTGAATTTCTGTCTCGAGCTCATTCTTGTATGGGGATCCTGTCATGTTGAGGGGTCTCCCTTGAGCCCTAGGTCTTTTCTTTCGTGTCGTTATGGCCACCTTTGGCAAGGGAACAATTTCCTTGGGTGAACTACCTGGCCTGAACAGACTTGGTTTTTCAGGAACAGCACATGAGTTTTCCGATATGTCAGCTACTTCCAATTCAGGTTCATTCTCAGTGACCGTGATAGGAGGGGCGACATGGTCGTTCAGATCTTCCTCTTCCTGATCAGCATTTAATGGAAAGTCTGTTGGGTGGGCAGGTAAAAATGCAGCTTCTCCGAAAACATGCTTATTCAATGGGCAGATACCGGTTTTCTTAAACCCATTAATGGCTGTTTGGAACAGCAGCATGTAGATAGGCCTCACCAAACAAAGCACTTATTTTGTAGATTGTCACAAGCCTGCCAGGATTGTTTCTGAGGAATGTTTCAATAGCCCCCACATAGTAGGCATTCAGTGGTTTCATAAATGAAACATCCAGTGGCTGCATTCGGTGACTGCAATGTGGTGGTAAAACAACAATCGTGACATAATTATCCCTGGCAAGATTGATAACATCAAGATTCTTAATATGGGTCATATGTCCATCCATAATCAACAATACTGGATCATTCACTGATGGCTTGGTGTGGGCAATAAAGTGCTGAAACCATTCTGTAAAAATGGGGAGCTGCATCCACCCAGATGGATGACAGGCAAATCCGGTTCCTGGTGGAGCACCATCCTTTAGTTCTTGCTTCATACGAACCCGTGGAAAGATAGGAACAAACTGCCCTCCAGCTGACATGCAGCAAACTGCTGTAGCTAGAACTCCTCTTTCAGCAGAAGTCAGACTGCCAATCTGTTTTTTCCCACGCTGACCAAGGATTTTTGTAGGTTTTGTCTGCACCGTTGTAATACCTGTCTCATCCACATTGAAAATCCTGTGTGGAGGAAAGAAGTGGCCTTCCTGAACTAAGGATAAGATGTCGAAGAACTTGTCCACATTTGTCTGATTGAAGCATCTTGCTCGAGCAGCAGAAGTTGGTTCTGGGGTCCGAATTGAAAGTTGTGGGTGGCGCCGTAGGAAGCCCAATAACCAGTCTTTACCTGCAAGTCCAACCTGGTAAAAGACAGAAACAACAGATAAAATGTAACTGGAATAAAATCAAACTTCAATGTGTATCAAACTAGGATGTAAACTAAGTATGAAAGTAAGAAACCTGTTCTGTAGAAAGATTTCACCGTTTTGTTAAATTTGTGGTCCAAGTTATTCCTCTCCTCTGCTTGGAATGCAATGTAGCGAACATCCCTTGTAGTAAGTCCAAAAAATCGATCTTCCATCGATAAAATGTGAGCAACCAACTCTTCTTCTTGTTCATTACTGAATACCGTCGTGAGAGGACCAAGCATCTGGAAATAGAGGAAGACATAATATGTTAGAAGTTAGAAACAAAAACGAAATTTAATAGGCTACATAATATTGCAGGACAACGAGCCCAAAAGAAGGAACAAATTCATAAATATTAATAAAAAAATTAGCTTTCAGGAAATGTTACACAAGATAGTTAAGTTTTGAAGATGCTAAACAGTTTCTTACCTTTGTCGAACCGGTTGCTATCTTATTTTTCTCTTTAACGCGGCGACGTAGAGTAGTCTTGGGGACATTAAATTCCTTGGAGGCTGCTTTCACACCCATCTTTTTTTCTTTAACTGCAGATATTGCATTCTGCATTGCTTCTGTATTCCATCCCCCTCTATTACTTATTCTCACGTATTTCCGGGGCATCTACAAGGAAAAAGGAAAGAAAATGCTAAGTGTTTGTAAAATATTTAGAGTAAGGGGTGAGATGGAACCCTCGGGGTCCATCTCACCCCATACGTAAATATTCGCATTATTTTTTTTTTTTATAAAACATCTGTTTTATATATCATGTTATGGCACATACCTATAATGCACACACAATTGGCTATATGCAGCATAAATACCAAATCATTACAGCCAGTATATCAATGCAAAAAAATAATTATCTTACCTTCTCCAAATAACATCAGCACTGTCAAAAAACACAAACCTCCACCTCGAGCGCCAATGCGGTACTGGACCTGGCTTCCGGTTGCACCCGCGTGAGTTACAGTTGATGTGAAGGACATCTAGTGGCAACAATCTTAACCATTAGGGTGTGTCAATTTAGGGGGTGAACTGGCTAAATTGAAAATCGAGTAATTTGGTAGCAATTTATTGTAGTCTTTAAGCATGCAAAACAATATTCTGGCATAAATTTTTTTTTATAATAAGTCCTACCTACATCAAATGGATTTTTAAATGTACATATTTGTGAATTTATAACATAACCAGCGTTTGCACACATGTTACTGTTTCAAGTTTCAAATTATTATATTTTATTATCCGTAGTCTATTTGAAAGTAACCAATGCCTTCATACTCTCTTTGCTTTGGTTTCTTGTCATCAGTAGTCTGCTTGCTATTTGTGCTTTGATGTAACCTTCTCGCCTCTCGTGGCTGTAAACATGGCCCGCTGCTTCTGTGACCATTTTCACACATCTCTCCACACTTTGAGTGTGGGAAGGCCACTTCGGCACCTGCATTGGAGTCTCTTTAAGGTTTCTCAATTCTTGGCTAGTTAGACTTGTTGTCAATGGTGGCTCTAAGACTTCCAAACTCAAGTCAACCAATTCTGACAATTTGGTGGCATTGACGTTTATTGGGGGAACTTTTCTTGAATGAAACGAACAGTCTCCCAACTGGTCGTCATCTATTAGCGTTCCTCTAATCTTTAGAATGACTTCTACAGCCTCGGTTCGGAGATTGGTACATTGACTGCAAAGCATTGCTTGCAAAACTGCTTCTGATCGAGCATACCAAGCGGACCTTCTTGCCACAGGTAACACGATGTCCCTCACTACCTTCCTCTGTGTTCTTACTAGCTGCAATTGAAACAAAAGGTGATTGGGCCCATCCACCCACATAGGATTAAGTTTCACACTAAACCACTGGGGAAGATAAACTCCAATAATAAATTCAACAATTAACCTCAAATTCTTCAGCACTTTGCCCTTCAATTCGTGTTTGGAAATCCAAATCCTGCAGAAACGAAGAGCTGTAGTTAACCAACGGCTGTGACTGACAGGTCCAATCTCCAAGAGAGCCAATGACTGAGGCACTTCTCCTGATCTTATTGCTTGGGCAATATGATAAGCATAGGATTGATCTGTGCTGAGATCTTTGATGACTCCTTCAGACAACGCCGGAAGGGGAGGGCCAACTTCGACCTTTGGAAAGGTTGTATTTATTTCTAGTTGTGTTGCTTCATCCAGCATGATGCCAAGGGGACCTGACCACTTGTTGTTGCTCTTTGTAGGACCATCAAGTTCCTGGATGAGATGACGAAGAGGTAGCTCGCCTGTATGTAAATCACATACAATCCAAACAAGTCTTCTTCCTAGTTTTTTCTCTAAATGCGTCATTACACCCCCCTGCCATCCGGTGTTCACTGCAGTTGAATCTCCACCAACAGCCTGCAGTGAACTGCCAAGTCCTCTCTCCTGAACCCAACATAAAATATGATCAGCAATGACCTCTGCATGTTTCTTCCCTTCTACTTCAGTTTCGGGAGCAAAGTGAAACAAAAACCGACCACCAGGCTCAGAACAGACAGAGTAGTGTTCTTCTTTGATGAGACCTGGAAACTTTCTGTTCACTCCCTCTACTTCTAGCAAAACTTTTGTGTCATCTATTCTTCCATCAAACAAAAGACAGGAGAGCCCTCCCTCGCTTAAATCTTTTTCATGCTGATCAGATATTTCCTTCATTATTTTTTCTTGTGCTCTTCTAATTTTATTATGATCTATCACCAAAGATACATCCTCTCGGCTGATGAGGCCTGCATCTATCCAAGCGGCAGTTGCAATTTCTGCAGCCTCACGAAGTCCAGCATGGTGGCGAATACTAGCTAAAGCAATGTTTGAAATATTTCTTGTGTTGTATTTCATTTTCTTTGGTAAAGGTTCAGATGGCTCTTTGGAACTATCATCTGATGTTGCTTCCTGTTCATCAGAAGAACTATCAAAGAAGTGATAAACATCTTGACACAGCTCTTCCTCTCTTTGGATGGCTTCTTCACTCTTCATTTTCTTCTTTTGTTCCCTCTCTCAGATTTGTTCTCTCTTCTTGGCATTAGCAATCTGCTTCTTTGTTTCTGAATAACCTATTGAACCCATTTGCATACTTCCTTGGCCTTCTGCCTTTGTCCTCTGTGCCTTTATAAATTCAAGCTCTAAAACAGGGATCTTCTTTTCACGAGGACAACCACAATCAATGTGGGAATTATTTTCTCTCTTACCTGAGTGAGAACAGTTGGATTCAGAACATAATTGTATGGAGCATTTGCAGGTCAAAATGTCAAACAGAGTATCAAGTGTGTGCAGAAATTCATTTTTCCTGGCCAAGTTTCCTTTACCAAGTGATGTTTCAACTGCTTAGTGCCATAATTTCGTTAGTTTTAGCTCAATAGTTCGACACTGATTAATCACAGGTGGTTTGAATAGTGCATTAGCTTTTGTCCATTGATGCAGAAGAGGGACTATCATGTCATTTATGAGTTCTTTATCTGTATAGTTCCTTCTGTCCTTTGCATTTTTTTCTCGAAGGAGTAACCCTAATCTTAGCATGTCTCTCACTGTTGGAAGTTCTGATACAGGAAGCTCCTTCCCTTTACCAACTAGCAGGCTCAAGTGGGTTGACAACTGACTTCTTGTCTTCAATTTTGACATCTTCACACTATCTGACAAATAGAAAAATATTTCAATGTTTCATAATTCAATTGTTGTTTCAAAAAATATCAATTTGTTTATCAAAAATGCTGTAACAGAAATAACATAATAATTTCTTAGAACATAATGTTTTATACAATGATATAAGTAACTGCGACAATCAATATGCCCTACTTACAATAATTAAAATGTAGAATTCGTCTGGTAGAGTAGGTGCAAGTGCAATGAGAGCAAACCACCGTCTATGATATCTAGAAGGAGAGTGAGCCGGGCGCCTTATCCTCACGCTTGGTACAAGTCAAAACAAGAATTAAACTGTCCCACACGGAGAGCCTGTTCATGTTCATGTTCTGACATGCATATTGTACACAAGCTATAGAACCATAAAATACTCCATAATCCATATGCTTACATGAGATTAGTTAATATCAAGTGAATAATTCTAATCAAGTCTCATTAATTTGTTGAAATACTGATATTTGAAACTTTAAGGTATAATTGATGTAGGTGAGGGTTATTTCAATTCATTTTTGTTTGCTAATCTCAAGTTTAGACATAAAGAGGCACAATATTTTGACTACCAAATTTGATTTTTAACATGTTGACAAAATTGACACACCCTATTAACCATGCCCTTTCTAATTCAAATTAGAGGGGGGGGTCCATCTCACCCCCAGGGGTCCGTCTTACCCCACCTTCCCCTACTTCAAGCAACCATATTCATTTTTTACATTAATTTTACTACAGCTAAACTCAGGGTCTTATTTTCTTCAGTTTTATATGTAGAACCAATCAGTCACTGGTTTCGTAAGCTTTAACATAAACAATGCCGGCAGGGGTTTCGTCTCCTCTAATATTCCACGTATTATTAATAAATTGTATTGTTAATTTTGCACACACGTACATTAATTCAATAAAAACAAATTCAGAAACATTAATTAAAATATATATGAACAGTAAATAAGTGTTGCTTTCATATTCTTATGTAAAGTAATGACGATATGTTTTCACGTGTGCGCATGCGCACTTACATATGCGATCTCTCTTTTTCTTTACCATTATCGTTAGCTACTTCTATTGTTCCATTTATTAACATTAAATAACATTACTTAAAACAACCATATTAGTTTTACTACAGCTAGAACCAAGGTCTTATTTTCTTCAGTTTTATATATGTAGAACCAGTCAGTCACTGGTTTTGTAATCAACGAAAACAATGCTGTGTCATTTCCTCATGTGTTTTAATTTTCTATGTATTATTAATGAATTGTATTGCTCATTTTGCACATATAAACATTAATTCAATAAAAAAGACATTCAGTAATAAACAATAATGAATCTTTTGTACATAAGAGAAATGACGCTGTTTACACGATTATGCACGTCGTCTGCACGTTGGCGGGCTGTTCAAACCCGTCGAAATTCAAGTTTCCGCCATCAAAATTTTTATTTATTTATTTTTTTGTGTTCCAATAAAATACGTTAAGAATTAAAAACTCGCGAAATTTGAGAAGCTACTATACGACATTTAACCCTTCAATATGTCTTCAAAGAGACCATGATGCAGAGAAAGTGGTGCTAGTGCTTCCAGGCATAAGCACAAGTCACTATCTATCCAGGAAAAGGGTGAATTTCCATGGTCCGGCACCGGTCAGGTCCTGAGGTTGCCGACTAGAGAGGTACAACCTGTATATGTATATATATATATGTATATATATATGTGTATATATATATATATATATATATATATATATATATATATATATATATATATATATATATATATATATATATATATGTATGTATGTATGTATATGTATGTATGTATGTATGTGTGGCAATATGTGTATGTATGTGTATGTATATGTATGTATGTATGTATGTATGTATGTATGTATGTATGGCAATGTATGTGTGTATGTATGAATGTATGTAGTACATGTATGTATGTATGTATGCATATGTATGTATGTATGTGTATGTATGTATGTATGTATGTATGTATGTATGTATGTATGTATGTATGTATGTATGTATGTATGTATGTATGTATGTATGTATGTATGTATGTGTATGTATGTATGTATGTGTATGT